TGACCCAACATTGTACTGGCTCTATTAAACTGCGGCCAAGTATCAGGGCTGAGTGTGGGAGCTGCAGTGCAGCCTCAGGAGTATCCCCAGGGCCACTTCTGCCTGGCCCTGCTCCTGCCTTTGTCCCTGCCATGTCCTCCTGGGGCAAGAGCAGATGCCACCTCCTAGGAGAAGCCTCCTGCATGGCCAGGGCCCCTCCTGGTTTAATGCTGGAGAGGGAAAACAGCCCATGACAGGGAAAATCCAGCATCCCCAGGGCGAGCCTGTGTCCTTTGCACCACCATAATCTTTCCAACACCCACAGAGCTGAATAATGCATCAGGTCCTGGGAAACAAAGAGGATGGGGGGGATGCGGTCAGGCCCCCCTGCAGCAGCAAAAGCAGCACGGGGAGACCCTGGCATGGGGCGGGGGGGCAGCAGCCCCACAGGGCTTCCCAGGCTTGGCTGGGTGTTGCTGGGTGCCAGGGCTTTGCAGCGGGGCCATGTTGGGCTTTGGGCAATAGCCTGGGAAAACAGCAATGGGAGATGTGGTAGAACCCAGCCCAGGGTGGGGGATCCCAGCCAGAGAGCTGGCACCAGCGGTAAAACACAGCCAAAACCATGCCTGGAACAGGATGGAGAAAGACAATAGCCATCCAGGTGAGAAAAATGGAGAAAAGCAACAAGAAAAAGCTGCCAGGCAGGCAAAGAGCTGGGGGGTGCAGCCAGGAGAGCAGCGTGAAGGGATGATCTGGTGCAGAACAAAAGGGGAGAGACGGAAGGACTGGGAAAAGGGACAGTAATTGCAAGCAAACAGGCAGAGCCAGCCACAGCTGGGGGGAGAGGAAGAAAATAATCACTTGAAAGAAACCGAGGATTTGGGAAGGAGAAAAAAAAAAAAAGGCAATAAATAATTAAAGGAGATCAAACGAGGCAGGCAGCAGAACAGGCCTAATTGCAAGGATTCGTAGTGAGGTTCGACATCTCCACCAGCCGTCTCCTGACGCAGAAGAAAGGGCGGCCGGGAGAGGCTCTGCCGCACGGGGAGCGTGCTGTTGGCACAGCACAGGCAATAGCCCCTGATCAAAGCCCAGCACTGACTTTCTTGATGCTCAGCAACCCTGCCTGAGCCAGCGAGGGAGCGGGGAGGAGGAAATGCCAGCAAACGGGGGGAGCAAAGCAAAGGCGTGCAGGGGAAGGGGCTGTAGGCACTGTTATACTTCACGAGCCTGGGATGTGATGGGGACCGGGTATCTGAACAGTCTCCTGTGCGCCTGGGGTGACCTTGGGCCATTCGATCATGGCTTGGTGGCTGGAGGCTTCCATCAGTTTGGGCTTGACCCCGCAGCCATGTGGCCCTGCTTGGTGCTGGGGTGGGTTTGCTGGGTCTTCTCCTGTTGCACTAGGGCTCCCTAAGCCTCCTAGCCCCCTGCAGGGATTTTTCTTCTCTATGGCCACTCTTTGAAGCCCTGGGAAACATTTTGCACCTGCATTGCACAACAGCAAGGAGACCCCCATGTCCTGGCACCTGCCTCCCTTGGCTCATTCAGGAGCCACTGCTTGCTGCTTGCCTTTGACACCTCCTGACTAGGAGGAGAAATGAGTACGGGAGAGAAAAAATGAGCGACCGGACCCCTTACACCCCAAGAGGACCTCCAAGCAGTTTTTCATCACCAGAGCAAGCCAGCCTTTGCTTTTACAAACCCGAAGAGCAGCCCTCCCAGAGCATCACTCAGTCTCGGAGAAGCAGAGACCCGCTGCTGGCCACAAGTCCCCCGCTGCATCTTTCCCCACAACCAGCTCCCACAACCTCCTCCGTGACGCCATGCGATCCATCCCAGGGTCCCCAAGGACCCCCGCAGGCAGCAGGTGCCAGGGACGGGCAGAGCGGTGGCAGAGCTCAGCTCGAGCACACTAACCTCTCCTAACAGGCAATCAAATCCCCGCCTCGGCAGGAGTCCCTGCATATTAATTGCACTGCGTTATCCAGCCATCTGTTCCCGCAGCCAGGAAAAGAGCAGTCCCTTTGGTCTCCTTTATTAACAGGTTTCCCTGTAAATGCAAACAAACCCTCCCGTCTCGGCGCCACACTCCAGATCTGCTTTGAGGCACCCGGGAGGGAAGCAAGAGCTCGCGGGCATTTGAGTAAATCAAGAGCAGTGAATGCAAAGGTGGTGATTTAACGCTGCCTGTGGCCAGGCAGGAGAGCCAAGGGAACGGGAGGGGGAGAGGAGAGGCCTCTGCAAAGCCAAAACCACAGATCAGATGGTTTCTGATCCTCCTGCTCACATTAAAGCCTCTCGCCATCGCCCTGCAAGGGAAGGGGGAAGCTGAGCTGGCTGTAGGGGAGATCTGCCAGCACCCCCGGCTGTGCCCAACCCATCTCGGGGTGCATTTCCCCCTCTCCTTTCCCCACTCACCCGCTGTCTCCCTGGGCAGAGGATGCCCTGCGTAAAGCACAGAGCCCAGCCTGGGCTGCTTCACCACAGGGAGGTTTTACCCCCCTTACCTACAAACCTGCCTGTAAGCAGGGTCTGGTGCACTGAGGGGTCTCTGCATGGCCATGCGCAGCAGGATGCTGGATCTGCCCCAGTAAAGCCAAGCAGGAGCTCGCTCTGCAGCCTGCAAGCAACTCCCTATGCCTGCTGAGCAAAGCATGAAGCCTCCAAAAGGGGATCAGCCACACAAAACTTGCCGAGAACCACCAGCCCCAGTAAACCAAGACTGAGCAGCAGTGACAGGGGGACACCAGCATCTTTGTGAGGTACCTCCAGCCCCTCCAGTTTTGCTCCGTTCCCAGAGCTGGGAAGGCAGCCAGCCTTGGCAAGGCAGAAGCTGCACCCAACTGTCTTCCTGTTATTGTTTCCCTTGCTTCTCCTTCTCCTAAATATCACCAAAATGCCAGCGATTGTCCCCAGGCTTGGCCGTGCCTGCTGCAGGGGTACCAGCCCTGCCAAAGGCAAGCTACTGCTGCCATCTCCCGGCTCCTGCTGCCCGGAGCCCTCCCAGGATGAGATGGGGCTCAGGGGTGGCAGGTCTGTACCTCCACCCCCAAGCACCTGCCCTTAGATCCAGGAAGGGAAAAAGTTCTCCCAGGAACAAGGGACACAGGGTTGCCAGCCCGCATCCTGCTCCTGTGGTCATCCCACCTGAAGCTCTCCTGGGACACTGAGGTCGATCAGGATGAGACTGGAACCATGCCGTTCACCATTTGCTTTTCTCCTTGTTCTATCCTCTCCTGCACTTTATCATGTTGCCCCAGCAGCACAGGAGTGGCAGGTGGCATCGAGTGACCTGACGTCTGGCCATATGGAGTATCTTTATTTATTATTCTTCATACGCATCCCCTCCGTATCTTGACATCTGGGCTCCAGTGTGGAGCTGGGCTGCCTGAGGAGGCGGCGGCAGCTCCATGCACATAAATGATGCTGCAACAGAAGATGTCAGACGCTTAAAGACCATCAAGACAAATGCCTGCTCAGTAGAGAGGATGAAACCCAAGAGCTGTGAGCAGGGCAGGTTTTTCACCTCCTTCAGACCTGGTCACAGCAGCCTGGTTACTCACCCCCACGGGAGGTAAAAACCAAAGGCTGCCGGCACCGGCACCGTGACTCAGCAAAGGTGGCCACGCTGCAGCAGCTCACAGGACAGAGGATGAAGGTCGGCATGTCTGAGAGACCGCACCGGGAAACAACTCCCAGGGCAAAGCGTCAGCTTATCTAGGTACACCCAGCTAATTCCTACCTCTCCCAGAGAGGGGTACATCCTGCTTCCTTTCCTCCTCCAGGAAATCGGTTCAGAGAGAAGGGGCAGGATGTCCCACGCCGACCTCTGCAAACCACCCGCAGTCTTCAGAGCGATGCAGTTATCCACCGCAGCGATGCTCGGCCAGGGGGACAGCGCTTTGGACCGAGCGGAGCACACCTACACAAGTTCATTTCTCACCTTCATCCAATGTCCTCCTGGTCTCTGCCTTCCTGCAGAAAGCCACAAGAAAGGCGTCTCATTTCCCTTCCCAAAAGGAGAGTGGATTTCCAGGCACAGGGAATGGCTGCAACTCCAAGCATGAGGCATGGGATTGGTGGGGCGGTGGAACACCATCCCCAAAACCAAACAGTGCAGAAAGGGGAGGGACAGTGGGGGATTTGAAAGAGACCCTGAAGAATCTACGAGTCAGCAGGTGCTGGGAAATAATCCTCTTCCGCCTCAGCTCCACTTACTCATCCTCTCCCCAAGTCCTTACTGGTATAAGCAAAGCTTTCTGCTTGTCCAGGCAATTCCCCCAGACTTCGCTGGGTTTGGACTGCTGACACAAGGAAAAGATAGAACAACCTAAGCCATGCTATGAACCGCGAGTTCTAAAATCCTCCAACTCTCAGAAATCTTCTCTATCTGCTGTATTTAAAATAGCAGGACTAGAACAAGTGTACATTATCTCCCTCCTGGCTGCAAGGCAAGGCTTTCCCTGCTGCCATTTGCTCAGCACCTTCGTGTCGTAGCTCCCCTGGACCACCTGGGCGCACACGCCAGGCGTGCAGGCCACTAGCTCTGGCAGACAGATACACACCCTACTTTCAAATAACCTGTGCTACCTATTTCTGGATAGAAAATTGCCGACAGGCCGGCAAGACCCCTACCTACGTCCAGCAGCCCACTTCATCGCAGTCTGCCACACGCTTGCCATTTACTGTCTTGAACGCAATATCCACGCTGCTTTGCTAGACCTAGTGGTGACTCCTCCTCTCAGTGTCCTCCAGTTCCAACATCCTCCCCTGCCCTGCTCCAACACAATTCTTTAATTCTATTAATACCACCTAATAATTACTTTGTTCCAAGTGTGCTGAGTAATGACTGCTGACGCTTCATTACTATTTCTGCAAAGAAACCAAGCTTTAATACATTGAATTTCTGCAGAGGAGTGACAAGAACTGTGCTTGCTGTCCCCTCTCTGCCTACATGTTCCACAGGGCAGGGGAAGAGCCAAGCGCTTCATTCTCAAGGCATCTTCAAGTGTCACAACTGTGTGATCCAGTTCAGAATGAACTAGACTGAAATAAAAATAGCTCAGAAGAGTTAGAATACAAGCAGTGGGGGAAAAGAGCCAGTGACCAAACAGCATCTATTGCCTTCAGGTCTCTTCCTCAAGAGAAGCTTCTACACTAGGTTCTCTTGCTCAAACCAACATGCTCCCCTCAATTCCTCCAGAGGCGCTAGGCTTTGGCGTTTCCTTCAGCTAATCAAAATAAAGTCTGTTCAGCTTGGAATTCAACCTACATGGATTAAAGCAATTCAAAGCAATAGGGTAAGCAGCCCACAGAGCACGGAGGAAGAGCGAATTAATAGCTTCCTTCATTAAAGCTTACCTTCAAAGAAGTCAGCAACAGAACTCGTCATCACCACTTTCTTGCAGACAATTATTTTTACATTCACAAGAAGATGAATGTAAAAGAAATTTATGTAGATGCTAAATCAAGGCTTTTTTCCCTAACTAGAAGGAAGCCACTCTTAGCATTTTAATTATTTTCTTAGAGCAGGACTGATGTTTCAGCCACTGTGCTCTTTTGCCAACTCTTAAAAATCAAATTACGTAACAGAATAAGGCAACACAAGGTAACAAACAGAGGTAATGCCAACTCCCGAAAAATCACTTCTTGGATCACTTCATTCGGTTAATCCTTCCGCGAGCCTCTTCACCCCATCCCGATCTCATTTGACCACGCCTGGTTTCCCAGCTGCTGCACCAAATAAGCAGCCCAAGCCACAACCTAAGCAGCAGCAGAGTTGAGAGTAATCGGTTCACCCCATTTAAAAGACTATTTCATCACTACAGAAACCAATAACCTTTCGGAGACCTACAGCTTCTGCCTTCAAAAGACAAGCACGTCAGGACAATTCCAGGTGGTACACTGAAAAAATGCGGCGTTTTATTGATGATTAGACTCTGCACTGGCAACAATCTTCAAGCTAATACAGACAGACCTCAATCAAAGCATGAGCTTTGAATCAGAAGTCGTAAAGTGACATGATGCCTTAATAAATTAAGGAAGTTGTTAATTCCTCTCCGTCATCAACTCTTCACTTGAAGTTCTTCGCAAACTCCTCTCCTTTCTTAATAGAAGCCTTCAGCTCAGACATGGCCTCAGCAATCATCTTCTCTTCAAAGGGGGAGATCTTGCCAATACCTAGGTTCTTC